CAACTTTACAATTTGTGTCACATTGAAAATAATAGTTTGACTTGACTAATGTAGATGTCTAAGTGACCAAACAAGAGGGGTCATTTTGGTCCCTTAAATTTATAACTTATTTTTTTTATCATTCAAGTTTACATTTGTGCTACTTCTAGTCCTCAAATTTTCAAAGAATACATCTCAAGTGTGATCACATGAGATACACAAGGCCAACTCCATTAGTAAATTATAATTGAAGTTTTCGGTTAAACCAAAGTGACATAAATTAAAAGATTGAGGGACAAAATTAACACAATTAAAAGACTAGTAACCAAACTAACACAAAAATCATAATTTGGGAATAAAAAATGTATTTTCTCCTTAATAATAAATGGCCCTACCCCTACCTCTTTCCTTCAACTACTTAAAAAGTGAAGAAAGTGACCGGTGTATTTTAAACCCTAGATAAGCCACTGATGAACAATTTGTCTGCAAAAGCAAGCACACACATGTGCATAAGCATGGAGAACCATAGGCATATGCATAGGCATAGGCTAGAGGGTTTGAACTATGAATACTAGAAATGAAATTTCAGTACCATATCTTTTCGTTTAATCTAATGAAGTGTGACACTTGAAAATTATTATATCACATCTTTGCATTTGTATTATGTAGGGACAAGTTTGTATATATTTTAACTATCTCCAAATTTAGTAATGGCGAAAATCTCTTGTACTAAATTGATGTGTAAAATATTTTTATATTTATTTTTTTATTTGCATGACCAATTTTAGTAATTGATTTAAAAAAAATTTATAAATAATTTTTTTAAGGAATAAATCAATTTTGTCATGAAAGTAAAAACATATACATGCAATAATTAAGCATAGAAAATCTGATACGTCTGAACAAAAATAATATATATATATATATAAATATATATATATATATATATATATATAAACAAACATTATTTAATCGTACATAAATTTTTGATATAATACTAAAATAACAGATGTCCAATCACGTGAAAACAATGAGTAAAATAGATGTAGACCTCTTTCCAAATCTTTCCTTATCGAGGGGGAGATAGAGCGAATTCAAAGTTGACATTTATAGGCAGTGCTATTATTGAGGTACTTATGTTTTAAAGTTGATTTACTTAAATATTTATTAAAAATTATAATTTTTTAAGGTGTAAATTATAATTTTAAAGAACATAATCATCATAAAATATTATAATCGATACCATGTTTTTTATGGTCGATCATGATCTCCTTCGAGTAATTATAATTTTTTTTTTAAAATTATAATTTTATTATATAAAATAATAATTGACGATACCAATACCGAATTTTTTTTTTTTTGAGGAATCGTAAAGCTTCCCTTAAAGTTTTGTTGCCTTTGAAAATGTGTATTTTGAAAACAGACTTTTCAATATAGCTAGGTGTTTTGAAAACGAGACTTTCAATGAAAAATATGCTTTTGCATGAAAATAAAAACAAGATTTGGTAAATAATTACAATACTATGGTATAAGAGTAAATAAGTTTCAAAATACCGGCAGTTGGATAATTAATTCTGTTACTTGGGGCTGGGTATAATAGAATATAAACATATGATTGAACTATAAGTTGAATTTGAATCTAATTAGTCGAAAATGAATTAATTTTTTGACTGATTATTTAAATATACATGAATTGGATTTGGATTTGAATGTATCAATAAGTAATTCAATTATAGTCCAATTCCAATGTAAGTATACTTTGTAGTTTAGTCTTTTTTTGATAAAGTTGAGTTGAAATTCAAGTGTTATTTGCTAAACTCGATTTTAATCAAATCGGATATTATATTAAATATCCGATCTTCAAAAAAATTGGAATTGGACATCCGAAAATGAACTCCATCTAATAATTGGATTAAATTTTTTTAACTGTATTTACATACAAATTAGCAAAAATCAAGCTACCTCCCAAGTGATTGTTTTTCTCTCACCTAAAATGAAAATATGATCCCAGTGATTCTCTAACAAAAGAAGTATAAGAGGACCTAACGTTGTATTGGTTTATTTTTTATGGAGTTTAGTTTGTATATGTGATCTGGATGATGACCCGACCCGAAATAATGTTGTGTGGTTTTTAATGAAAATTTTCTGAGGCTTAGTCCATGGAGCGAAGGCTTGGGCCGATAGGCCCAAGCCGTAGCGCTCATGGACAAGCCTCGTGGGGGTTCGGGGGCAACGCCCCCGAGGAAAATTTTTTTGGGCCCGTTATACAGCCCAGTGCGTAGGACATATAAACCCTGTTGTTTTGGTGATTAGGGTTAATTTGTGTATGGTACAGCCGCTCTCTGTATTCAACTCTCTCAATAGTGAAATCCCTGCAGCTTCGTGGACGTAGGCAAATTGTCGAACCACGTAAAATCTGTGTCTTGTTCTTTCTTGTTTCTTATTGCTTTATATTCTTGATTTGTTCTTCGATTGTGTGTGTTTGTTAGTGGATTCAAATCGTGAGAAATCCCAACACGTTGAACAAAATAGAGTTCATCTCTGCTAACATATATTGACTTTGTTGAGGGTAATTGTTTATTGGACTCCATAACTAATATGAACGTCCAATGCAATGAACAATTAGCCACAAACAGAAGTACTAAAAAAGGATAGACATACATAGAAATGACTGTTTCCACTATATTAAGAAACTAATAGGGTTACAAAGCGGTGTTCTCCACTTTGCTCCGCTCGCAGGTCATTACAAACATGGACCGCGTAAATGAGTGATCCACTATCTCCAATAATATCATAAAAAGATTAACACTCAAGACAGTTTTGTGGAACACGCAAGAGCCCAACTACCCCTCCTATGAAGAACTAATAAGTCTCACTTCAATTATTCCTTGCTCAGCTTCCAAGATCCTTGTAAGATATGGTGTTCTTGGTCTGGCTAAACATACAAAGAGAAGCTGATATTCACTTTATTTTATGTGACTAGCTAAATAACAAGGACAGTGAAACCAAGATCAATAATTCTAAAGTCTTTTGTCCTGTAACCCAGAATAAGATCTAGAAACAACTAGTAACCATCTTTCCTTTAATGTCCTTTGGAATGTTATGCATGGTACCAGCCCCAATTTAGTTCAATGTGGGAAGAAGATTGCGACATTTCAACTATGGATTGGTCATCAGAATTGGAATCTAAATACTGTTGAATAATGAGTTTTTGACCAAAATAAGATTATTTTCAGACTTTATTTGTTTTGTACAGGAAATTTTAACTTTTATCCTAATCTGCTGTTGTTTACATGCGTGATGCAGAATTAAGTTTCACATTAAAAAGTATAAGCTTAAACCATGTTTTCGCGTAAACAACCATAGATTGTGAAATAAGATAGAAATCACTTCAGAGTCTAAAAGTAACCCTATTTTAGTAATTGATCTATTTGTTGAATCATGTACAAGAACCACAAGTCACCTTCACCAAGTACAGGCCCCTGAGCAACTGGATTACAATTGTTAAGATCCAAAACAAGAACAGTCAAGTCTTGTGCTTGGCCAATCTTTAGGGTTACAATTTAAGTGCTAACCAACAAATTTGGTCCCAGTTAGTCATGTCTAAGCATCACAACAACTACATTACAGAAAACCCTCACATGCAAGGCACTGAACTAACTAGTTGTTGAGTCTGACTGCGACAATATCCACTGTCATGGCTTTGTGTAGCAAACTCAAAAGGCAAGGCTAATGTACTCGGAATAATTCTCTGTTTGAAGACATTATATGATTCTCAAAATTAAGGTGAGCACAAGACATTATAACCCCATTACACTGCAAATTGGCCAAGTTTTAGCCAATCTCTCTGAACTGGACCTTGTCAGTCTCTCTCCAGTTACCCCATCTGGGTAGACCACAACAAGGCATTCTTCGTCTTCTCGTGCTTTTCTTTTAAAGCTATGGTTGTAATTCCTTGTAGAGGGTGCAATTCCAAGTTATCTTTTCGCACTATTTCTTCATATACTATCATTTTAGGGAATTGGATTTGTTCTTGGAATTGTTAATTTCCAGAGATTGGACACTATATTCTTTTTTCCTTTTGCAATTGAAATATAAATTATATGGTTGGATGGGTCTCACCAATTTCAGTAATTGTGTTTTGCAAATGAAGTTGAAAAAGATATTTTATGTAACAATATTAATGATGTTATTTGTATTTAATTTAGGATTTAATTTAAATTGTAGCCATCAAATTGATAACTATTAATTCAAAGGTCAAGATACTTTAGTCCTCAAATTAGGTCTCAATAGCATTGCTCTATATGCTATTTGTCTATAGTTTGAGAACCTAATTTGATGATCTCTAACACTTACCCTTTTTTAAACTAAAATATATTTTTGGGTAAAAAACTCTTAAAATTCTTCTCCAATTTTATACCCAAATTCATACCAAATTAAGAGAGATTTAATTTTGTACCCAAATCAAGAGAGGCTCAAACATTTATTAATTGAATCACCAATAATTAGATTTTATTATCTTTTAAAGATCTAATAGTCATTTTCTATCTTCATTAAATTTAATTTAAATTGCTTCTGCTTTCTTAAAAATATAGGCTATACATTTTACCAGTTTCGATTATCCACACAACAATGGCAATTATAAAAAAAATGGTGCTAATTAATCGACTTCTAGCTGTTGAAAATGAAAAGAATTTTTAGGAATTTCTTTGTTTTCTTTTTTCTTTTCACTGGTAGAACCTTTTGATATATTATTGAGAAAACCAATCTTTTCACTGGAGACTACATAGCTGTCCATAAGACAAATGTTCTTTAAAGTTTCCTGCATGCACAAACATAAAATAGAGCCCTCAGTCCCCCTTAGGTAGATGAACATTAAAAACTCATGTATTTACAAACTGTTGAAGAGCCTACTCAATTCACATAGTCATGGATATATAAACAATTATACAGCGGGAGAGAGAGAGAGAGAGAATATGAAACATGAAGCCAAACAATAATCAAAAGCATCCAAGAAACTACTAGGTTGGGGGCTTATTGGATAGAAGCCAATGGGTGAAGCTGTGGAGTGTTGTGATATCAGCTCTGTAGTGTTTTTGTGTGAATTCTAACAAATCTGACCATGTGAAATCAGGGTACTTCCTTGGCCCTTCTCTGTCAACAAGATCCTGAGGGGGTCTCACCACCTTATCTTCTTTTGGGCACACAAAAAAAGCCAATGATCTCCTCTCTCTCTCCTTGTTCACCACTGCCCTATGTAGGCAACTCTTGTATCTCCCATTGGATAATGCCTACATATCAAACAAATACTTGTGTCATAACTATGCCACCCAAACCTACACCTATCCTGAAGTACAAACAATGAGTACATGCTTACATACAAAGAATACTACATGTAGAATGCATAGGTGCCTCCATGACTATATGTGTTGCACCGACCAGATCCTACATGTGACGTGTGTATATGGAATGGTGAATAAATGTGAGCTTTATACCGTCATTATACAACACATTTTAAAGTTGTGCTGACCCAATACAAATCGGACAATTTTATTGTACGATGTGGGGCCTGCCATTATAATTGGTATGAGAGGTATGGAGGCCATCTAATGACGTGCAACGCTTGGTGCATCTCAGTTTGGCGATGCAATGGCTTACAACTAGCAGCTAGTGTAGTGGGAGTGGTACATAAATTGTGAGTTTTGAATCATCGTTATACAACATATTTTAAAGCCTTCTAACTCTAATTCAGAACGAATGATATTATACAATACGGGTCCGCGTGTTACATATGTATTTTGCTTGTGTGCATATCTACACGCAAAATGTGAAATGGGGATTGGCTCCTTATGGTTTTATATTTCTTACCTAACTCATGCCTAGGTAGACATGGGTCTTAGTATTATTTTCTGGGCAGGAATCTTTATATTGATATTCTTACCAAAAAAGAAAAATGGGGGGAGGGGGGGACAATCATGTACCTATGATAACTTCAATCAGAAAAGTCTAAATTTCAAAGGGAACTGAATTTGCAGAAGCCGGTCCATCAAAGATTGTTGAGAGAACCACTTTCAGGACAGTTGAATGTAGTTGTGGACCCAATAGCATGTTGAACTCAAAAGCAGCCGACTAATATGTCAAAAACAGCTACAATCCAACACTCGGAAGGTCTTTTTTTTGGTTCTTTCAAATTCATTTTTAGATCATAGTCCAAAGAATTGAACATACATTGGACGACCCAGTTATCCCTTCTTTGTTTTTTCCTGTGAACTGGTCTTGTAAAACCTCAATGTTACTGATGAACTCATTTCTGGGACTAAAAGAATTGCATTTTAAAAAAAGTAAAGTAAACAAAAGAAAATGGTAGTAAAAATATGAGAAAATTACACTTAGGTCCTTGAACTATGCCCTTCGTTTCACATTGCAGCTAAGGCATCCACTTTCTCATATTACACTTTAAACTGTAAGTTTGAGTATCATGTGCCAAAAATAAAATAGAAAAAAAGAGTATCATGTTGCCAAAAATCTTTAACTACTCTTTAATTTTCAATAGAAATTAGAGCAAAAATGGAGTTTCTTCCAGCTTAAGAGGGAAAGAGCATGTCTCGTATCATTTTAGAATTCCATTTTCCTCTTGTTAGCGGTGAAAAATTAGAGAAAAGTTAATGATTGGGACAATGTGAAACTCAAACCAATAGTTTAAAGTGCAACGTAGGAAATTGGGTAGTTTAGAGGACAATGTAAAATGAGGAACATAGTTTAGAAGGTCCAAGTTTAATTGGACTCAAAATAATCAGTACCTACCATGAATGTATCACCAATGTTGACGACGAGGGCGTCGGAGCGAGGGCGAACGGATTGCCATTTGTTAGCTGCAAAAACTTGCAGTCCCCCAACTTGATCTTGATGCAGGATTGTTAAGGAGGTTGGATCACAATGAGGACCAGTGCCGAGCGTGAGGTCAGGTTCTTTGCATGGTGGATAGTAATTGCACCTCATTATTGAACGCCCATCTTCAAAGAAATTCTTATAGTGTAAACGTTCTACTTCCAAGCTAATTGCCAGGAGTTCCATTATTACAAGAGATAATTCCTTCATTGCTTCACAATATCTTTGGTAAACCAACCTACAAGAAGCAAGGAATATGGCTAATCTCAAATAGAGTGAAGGAGAGGTAGGAAATGAAGTAAACACACAGTGGATACTTCAATTTGTTAATAGCACACAGAATCCAAAATTGTGTAGTAGTAGAGTCCTCTTTTTTAATGCGGCTCCATATAAGCGTCACGAGTTTGAGTTGCGTAAGGAACCTCTCCACCGGGAGAAGAAATATTCATACATTTAATTTTATCTATCCCAAAATCTCGTGCACTAACTTGTCCTAGAATGCTTTTTAATGTAATAGCTAGTAGAGGTCATGATTAGAAATTAGAAAGCAAATGCACAGACTCCACTACCCCACCAAAAAAGGAAAAAACATAGACACCTTAAGAGACAAAGAAGAGTTAAATGCATTACGTAACAGATTCTCAAGGCAGTTTATGCAGCACACTAGTAGTGGATCAAACATGATTTTGGGGAAAAATATGCTTATCCTACCATCATAATGTTTCTTAGACTAGGTGATGTCATTGAGCAGTCTCCTAATGATTTGCTTTGTGTCTCCTTCGTATTTTGAGATTCCTTGTAATATCTTTGTTAATTTTATTTTTGAAAATATAATTGACCTGGGAATTTAGTTTAACTATAAATAATGAAATGCAAATAAACAAGTTCTAGTCTCACCCTGTCTCTTGAAATTCTTCTCCAACTGTGGACTTGAAATATTCAACCACAGAGAGCTCAGTATCACTCCCATGGTTATATCCAAATGAAAGTGTCTCCTTCCACGGTAATTTCGACGAAAACCGATCAGCATGGGCACCAGAATAACCGCACACGCTGCCCGGATTTCTACGGGCAGCAAGCTTCTTGCTAATGGGAAGCTTGAAGAAAGCATCCAACTGATCATGGGCAGCACTTATGAGTTCTGCATCCACACCATGATTGGTGACTTGGAAGAAGCCATGGTTCATGCAAGCTGCCCTAACTAGCTCAGCTGCCCTTATAATTTCTCTCTTATCATCTCTGAAAACCCCTTTTAGGTCTATTAGGGGCTCTTTGAGCTCTTCTTCTTGAGTGTGAACCAAGTCCCCATGTGGCCAAATGAACTCTGTTGGCAAGCTAGCTTGTTTTTGAAGCTTAACTGTGTCAAAAACAACCCCATTTTCTCCCTCATCCTTAGGCTCCAATGGATGGCAGAGAATTCCATTTTCTTTCTCATCCTTGAGCTCCAATGGATGGCAGACAACCCCATTTTCTCTCTCATTCTTGAGCTCCAATGGATGGAAGGGAAGCCCATTTTCTCTGTCATGCTTGATCTCCAATGGATGAGAGAGAAGAAGAGTTGCGGCACTTGAATCCATTAGGACAAGCACATTTGAAGGGGATTAGAATCAAAAGGGGCTACTTATAGAAGATCAAAGTGAAAAAAAGGACTTGGGGCTAAAGAACAAGAGAGAGAACTTAAAGGTAAGAAGTGGGTGTGAGAAGGGTAGAATGGTAAATGTGAAAATAAAAATAGAGAGAGGATAGAGAGAGGAGTGAGAAGAGAAATGCCAAGGCCGTCCAGTGAAGAGGTTGGAAGGTTATTACAGCGCCAACAACTAGGACGAGTGACGCCCTTTAACCCTTAGGTCACTTTCTAAGTTCTCCATATAGGCTACAAATGAAAAACCATACAGCAGTATCTCAATCTTTTCTTTATCCCTTTTGTTGTCCCTTCCGCCAATTAAATATATTGTACACACACACTCATGTATGTGTGTGTGTTGTATGAAATCATATAAAATTCTCATTTAGCTCAAGTCCAATGTATTAGTTGTTGTTAGGTCAGTTTCATTATCCTCTCCCTCTCTCTAAGCAGATGTTTTTAACTTTTAACAACCTTGCCACAAAAAGAATGCCACTATTTAGGTCCTACTTCATTGTGCATAATATCATACTCTTGTATTAGCATTGGGTCCATTTCCGAACTACACTAGCCTTCTACCATCGCATAAATATCTTCCTCGAATGTAGTGTAAGATTGCGATTATTTAATCAGACAACACAATAGGTAAAATCTCTTATGATGCGTCATTCTCTTTTACTAGCAACACGGTTCGAGTAAATATTCTTCACAAGGGTGATACCATATAATCATCTAGGGGTATCATTACCCAATAATTGATTATCACATTGATATTTTAAACCTTATGTAATCCAATTTCTTTAACATGCAACTCACCAATTACTACAACATGTGACATAATTAATTACTATTATACGCTCGTATATATGTGAGAGATTTATTGTTCTATTTTATTATTTATTATTAAATGGTGATATCTTATATATGACATGACAATATTGTTGACGATGTGATATATGATGATGACATGATATCATTATTGTGATGAATATTTATATTTTGCCCACCCGTGTTGCTTATCCTTGTTGCTTATCCTTTTAAGGTACATGACAAACTGCTATACTCGTAAATCTTTTCCTAGATTCTCTCTTAGAAATACAAAATCCGTCACAGTCATGAGTTCATTTTTTTGGATGGAGGAAAGAGAAAAGGGATCCTATTTGTTGCTGGTTGTGACTAATGTAGTCATGGAACTTTGTTGTCACATGACGTGTTATAATCAATTGATAAAATACATCGTTTAGTAGGTTTCTTTAGAGAAAAAAACAGGGCCAATAATTAATGCTATGGAATGATGTTAATTATTAAATACTCACATTTCCACCCAAATGCTTTTAAAATTCTGACCATGAATATAGATTTTAATTTTCTTTGAGCTTTGATCAAATAATAATTGGTTTTGTGAGGAAGAATTTGACACCACTGTTGACCAACTTTTGCTGAAAATACTATTGGGCGGAAGTTGTTTTTCGATCTAATCTATCACTTGAAGAAAGAATAGTTGCATGTATAACTTCGTTATTCGTACGAAGATTCATGTAAATCGTTTTTACTAGAGTATTTAAATATACTTTTATTACTTGACCCCGATGTGTAATTCGGCCGGGTTGAAAGGTGAATTCAAACTTAATCTTAGGTATATAATTTTCAATTTTAATCTTAATCCTAATCTTATATCAACTCGAATATTGTCTAAGTTTAATTCGAGATGAACTTGGGTTGAATTCAAATTACGTAATTCAGACAAATTTTGAGTTAAAAATTAAGTTGGGTTTGAGTTACGTAATTCGGACTAATTTCGGGTGAGAATTCGAGTTAGGTTCATTTAAGCCCAAATCAACATGTTGTTCTAAATCTGGTACATATTACATAATATTTTCCTAGAGTAACAATCAACAATTTCAATTAAATGTTTAACATAAAGACCATAGTATTTAAAGCATAAAAATCAATATTTAACATAAAGACATAATAGTCAAATGTTTAACATCAGACTGAACCAAAAAAATGATCTCTAGTGTTTTAAATTGTAAGTTATATTACTATATTGATTTATATATTTATTTTTAAATATGTTCGGATTAAGTTTGATTTGTATATTTGGATTGAACCCGATTTGAAATTTGGGTTAGAGTTCGGGTTGAGTCGGAGTTATATATTTGAGTTGAATTGGTAACTCAATGTTTCAACCTAGGTATTGCCCGAATTTAATTTGGGTTAGTGTTTTTTTAATCAGGCTCAACCGAAATATTAAAAACTTCAACTCAATCCTTCTTTTTCTTGAGTTGGGTTTGAATTGAATTCGGGTTAGTCTCCTTAAATTGCACCCCTAGACCCCGTACTAAATTAAACATATTGGTAAATTATCTTGTTCAGTCACTCGGTTTATACTAGACATAATGGAACTCATTGGACACATCCAAGGGATATTCAACAAACAGATTTGGTAGTAAAAAAAACACCACCCATAGTGTCACCATCGCACGAAGGTGTCACCCTGTCATGACAGAATGGAGCATTATAAATATTTTCATACGAGTGCGACATTCGTATTTTAAGTTAAGGTATGTCAAAATAGATGATAAATATTAAGAATGACGGTAATTTATACTTTGTTATGTAGCATTGGGTTGTGAGCAGTAAATTAGTTGGATGTCGACCGAAATATCTAGTTCAAGATGTTGCCACCACTCCACCACGCGTTCGCCAAGAGCATTTATACATAGTATTGTGGAATAGATGGGTTTGGATATGACCCGAACCAGCACTAACCCACCATTGGTTTTTTTTTTTTCCTACTTCCTCAGGTTCTCAGATCAGTTAACATAATTCGAGTTAGTTTTAAAATATGTCTTTTGAGGAACAAGGATAGTTGACATTTAGAGGGTGTAAGAAGTATCGAATTATTCACTTTTAACGATGACTTTTTTGCCGCTAAAAAATATTTTTCTTGTAGTGATAATACTAGGTGAGAATTATATCATACATGGTGGTCATGATTATTAATGAAGCATACCAAATGAAAAATAAGGCTTAAATCGCGGACTGTAATATCGAAGATACTAATAATGCTTATGAAATAAGCGAAATACCTTGATATGCTATTCAAAACAATCAAATTTTCTTCGAAATATAATTAAAAGTTCTATACATGGTCAAAGGCGAAATAGTCCATCGGGAGTTGGACTGAAATCTAATAATGGATTAGATCACACCAATATCAATCCGTTGTCGCCAAACCAAAAGCTCCAAACCACCCCCTCTTTCCCTTCCTTCCCTCAATAAAACCATGTGCAGACATACCCACATTGTGCTTTCATGCTATGAGTTATTGTCTGGCTGTTTGCATCCAAGACCAAAAAAAAAAATAGTATTCTCCCTCATAATTTAGGAACTTAACATTTTATGCTCTTACAAATGCAATGAAAGGAATCGGACAAATTCTGCGAGTTTCCAAGGTCAGCAAGACAAAAGGGTTGCCAAATCTAGTTGAGAATCAATTTTCCAGATTCCAACACAAGTTTGTCTTGTGCATACACAAAATCAAGATGGCATGTGACCCCAGCTCCTTCCATAATTAGCCTCTCTTAGTTTTTTTGTTTTTTTTCAACGGTCAAGGGTGTTTAGATCAGTTTATGCGCATCTCAATTAATCTCTTCTCCATTCTGGTTAAAAGCAAACCATCTACGTTGGGATTAGAGTATTCATGAAAAATAAATCTCTCATAACTTAACCCACTTAAGAAGTTAATAAGATTTGAACTCGGAACATCTGAATTTATAACTCGTTTCTATTATCATTTGAGCTCCTTTTATGTTTAAATTTTTTTTGTTCTCCGGAAAGAGAGAACTATTTTAAGGTTAGCTGCAGGGTCCCTTTCATTTTCCTTAATATAACCACGAATTAAGTTTGCCTTTCTCACAAGCAAAAACCCCCTTTTTTTTTTTTTTTTGGGGGGGGGGGGGGGGTTTGGTTTTAAAGAAACCTGTTTTTAACCATCCATAACTATGTCTTTTCTCCTCCTCTCTAACAATAGATTTCATTTAAATACTTTGAAGAAACATATAACAGTTTTTTTAGGTATCAAAAAAGAAATATCAGCATGCATGAGTTGGTCAAATAGAAAGCATTGTAAAAGAGCACCCAGTTTGATATTAGGTTCAAAGCTGAAAAGGAACAAGAGATCATACTTGGTCAACCTCCTTGAGCTTGCCAGATTCTGCCTGGAGTTGCATTTGAAAGGCTTTTGATAATTTTTTTTTATTTTTTATGTTTTTAGGTGGCATTTGTTTTTCTTTTTTTGTCCAAGTTTTCTCTCTTCAAACTTAATCACTCATGTGGTAGTATGGATATGCACACAAATAAATATGTCATTTATAAATTAAGATCCATATACATCACCATTTACAAAGTAGTAATGAAGCATACTTTTAATTATTTTGGACAAAATTTTATTCCTTGTCAAAAAATAAGTTACTTAAAAAAGTGTTACCAAACGGTATATTAGTTCTTAATTTCTTTTCCTATTCCATTTCAAGGGAAACACCTAGTATTCTTCTTTCAATAATGTTGTTTGAACATAATTTATTGATCTAATCTTTTAGAACCACTAGATTAGTTGCGAGTTCCAACAAATACTGAGTGTTAGTAGATTATGAATGATTAAATTAATAAATTAGGTCACAATAGTATTACTCTTTTTCTTTACGGGTTCATGGGAGATGAAATTCAGAACAATTAGTTGCACTTAAGATATAAGATTACAACAAAGTTTTAACATACCCATAGGAGTCGGTTGGTTGTTGTATTATAAGGAGTATTAAAGAGTCATGTTTAATTAAAACGTTTTAATACGAGTTTATATTATATCTGGATGTAAAAAATCACCTCGTGTTATATATGAGATTAACTAGATAAGTATATCCTCCTACGGATAAGTCTAACACAATCTAT